ACAATCGATCACTTGTTCCTGAAATATTTTCCTCTGCTTGTTTGGTTTTCCAGATCCCAATGGAAGCTACCTTCCTCTGGAATCACAAGGGTAAGAGTTGTTATTTTAACTTATATTTCTATCCACTTGATTTTCTTGGTCATGTTATGTTTATTCTCATGCAGTTATGCTGATAAGTATCCTCATCTTGTGCAGTACAGGCAGCCTTTGTCCTTTCGCGAGCTAATTATTGCTTGCCGTTAAGGTTTTTTGGAAAGAAAACTGAATGTTGTTGATTCTTGTGAGAGAACTGTGATGTTTATTCATGTTCAACTCTTCACAACAGCGAAAAAAAGTTCAGCGGGAGCAATAGCAGGAGGTGTTGTGGCTGGTGTAGTTGCACTAGTCCTGGGTCTCGTGTTATTCTTGTTTTATAGGCGAAGAAAGGCGAAACAGGACGCTTTGATTCCATCTTCTGAAGAATCTACCCGTCTAGGTAACAATAAGTTTTGTATAGATCTCTTACTACTTCTCTGACCCTGGAACTACGAGTTATTCTGTAATTTCTTTTGTAGAAAAGCATTTGCATGTCCTAATTTCACCACTGCAAGTTAATTTATGTCCTTTGTTCGTCTCAACATTGTTCTGCTACAAAGATACGAGGGGATTTGGGTGGTTTGAAGTAATGCTTGTCTATCGCGTGAGCAATTATATTGATTTTTCTGGACCTCGAAATATTGTGGAGTAAATAGAGTATGATATATGTTATGATTATGAGTAATAGTTTTGGGGCTATAAGTGTAATCAATGAGCTATGTTAGGGACCTATAAGTGTACTTTTGGAGGATAGAGAAAGTTAGAGAACCTTGAATTATGCTTCCATTTTCCCCTTATTATGTTCTTCCCTGAATTGAACAGGCCTTGAAAAATATTCTAACAGAATGCGACTTCTGCTATTTCTGAACTATTATTCTTTTTGTTCCAGCCAGTGCAGTATCCATGCAAAAGGTGACACCATCGAGCAGTCAAGCTGACGGAGCTTCACCAGCTGCCGGCATTACAGTTGATAAATCAGTCGAGTTCTCATATGAAGAACTTTTTAATGCTACAGAAGGCTTTAACATAATTCATAAAATTGGACAAGGTGGTTTTGGTGCTGTCTATTATGCTGAGCTTAGAGGCGAGGTTAGTTCATTTTTGTTTCATTTGCATTCCAGAATCCCGGATGCCACAAACATGTACTCCCTCTATAAAGAAATATAAGAGCGTTTAGATCACTAGAGTAGTGATCTAAAGACTCTTATATTTCTTTACGGAAGGAGTACTTAACTAGGGGATTGAATGGTGGAATAATATAACTCTGCGCTGGTCCATGAATTGTGATCATGCAGCGTCATGACATGTTCTTCATTTGAAATGACTTGCTTTATTTCTCTTGTGTCCTCCACTGTCCAGAAAGCTGCCATAAAAAAGATGGACATGCAGGCTACTCAAGAGTTCCTTGCTGAGTTAAAAGTTTTGACACATGTTCATCATCTTAATCTGGTTCGTAAATCTTCTTTTTCTGTACCTAAAAATACTGTTTTTTTAATAGGACGATGATATAGATTTTCCATGTGGACGATCTTGTAATTTCACACTATTCTCTAGTCAGGTTAATTTAACCTCTTCACTGCCGTTTCAATGTTCAATTTCATGCAGGTGCGCTTGATTGGTTATTGCACGGAGAGTTCTTTGTTCCTTGTCTACGAATTTATCGAGAATGGCAACTTAAGCCAGCATTTGCGTGGAACTGGTAATGTTCTGCCTCCCAAAGTATTGACTCTGCCTTTTCTGTTCCTTCCGGCGAATTAATCTCTCCGCGCATTTGTGATAGGTTATGAGCCTCTTTCTTGGGTTGAAAGAGTTCAGATTGCACTAGATTCAGCAAGAGGTCTTGAGTACATTCATGAGCATACCGTTCCAGTGTACATACATCGGGACATCAAATCCGCAAACATCTTGATAGACAAGAACACCCGTGCAAAGGTAGGAATGATTCCAGGAGAATTCATGTGTTTCATATGTTCCGTCCACCCTTGATGTAATATTTCTGTATCTTCCAGGTTGCAGATTTTGGTCTAACAAAACTTACAGAAGTTGGTGGTGGTACATCTTTGCAAACACGTGTTGTTGGTACATTCGGTTACATGCCTCCAGAGTAGGTGTCCTGAACATCTACTTGTCGTTTTGCTAACCACAAAGTATTCCCTGTTTGCGACGAATGTTGACATTTATAGGAAACGGTGCTTGCAGATATGCCCGATACGGTGATGTTTCTCCTAAAGTCGACGTCTATGCCTTTGGTGTTGTTTTGTACGAACTTATTTCAGCCAAAGATGCCATTGTCCGATCAACTGAATCTGCCAGTGATTCAAAGGGATTGGTTTATCTGGTAATTGTGCTGCTCAGCCAACAAGTTACATTCTGCTTTTGATGCTTCATAAAACTGCAAGGGTACCTGTTTTGTGTGTCATTCTACTTTGTTACTTCTGGTGACATTAGTTAGTTACAGAAGGTCAGATTAATATGGATGTTCTGTTATCCCACAGTTATGCTTCCGAATCCACCACGTACAGGTTGACTTTGGAGTGAAATGCGCCATTAGTCCATTAACTCAAAATGAATGCACACTTTAGGCCAATAACCCGGAAAGTGATCAATTTTGTCCATAAACTCGTTTATTTGATCAAACAAGGCCAAAACCGATTAGGGATTGCCACGTTGGCATTGCTTGGATCACTCATAAACTGACTTATTTTTTATAGGTTTTGTTTTGCAAGATTACATCGGTCTGCATTTAAACTAATTATAGGTGTCAACAGCTCAGGTACAAGCCTGCTAACCAACAGAACTATAAGCTGTTTGTGTAGGCCTTGTTTAGTATTGGTTTTTTATTCTTCCTATTTATTCGGTCAGTTTCCAGAAAAGATTAATACCACCAGTTGCATTGTGTGGGATTTGTACCCACGCTTGACTAGGGAAAGAGTGGCCTGCCGACCAGTAAGGTATTAAGTCATTTGTGTGCATTGTGTTACAACAAAGTATATATTCTCTGCTCCTAAGCTTAAATACGTACACATGAACAATAAAATCTGAAAAGGTAGTACAGTAGTAAATAATTTTACATACTTTGTTGTAACACAATCTCACTTATGATTCAAGATCCTACTGGTCAGCAGGCCACCTTTTCCATAATCAGGAACTGACGAGCAAATAGAAAGAATAAGGAGCGATTTAGTAACCAATGGCTACACAAATAGTACCTTATAGTTCTCTTGGTTAGCAGGCCTATACCTGAGCCCTACGGCGTGTGTTTGAGTCATGCATGGCTCATATTTTTTACACGGCAGTTTCAATATGAACGCGGGTCGATGTAATCTTGCAAAAAATTCCCGTAAAAATTTGTCGGTTTATGAACTGTCCAAGGAATGCAACATAGCCATGTGGATGGTTTTTTCTCTCTCGACTCAGTTTTGGCCTTATTTGATCCAATAAACCAGTTTATGGACTAAATTGGTCACTTTCCGAGTTCTTCTGCAATCACTTTGAGTTAATGGACTAATGGCACATTTAACTCTTGGCTTTGGGTCCTTGCTGAATTTATTTATCTTGCTTGTTTGATGACTTTTATCATACACTGAAATATGTATAGTTTGAGGAGGCTCTCAATGCACCGGATCTGAAGGAAGGCCTCAAAAGGCTGATCGATCCAAAGCTAGGAGACGATTACCCCATCGACGCCATTCTCAAGGTTAGAAAAACTTGCTCGGGCACAGCGGTTCCATCGCATATATCTTGCTTTCGTTGCGTGGTTGGATTAGATATATGGGATAAAACATCTGTTGCCTTGTGGCTGCAGATGACGCACCTGGCGAACGCATGCACACAGGAGGACCCCAAGTTGAGGCCGACAATGAGATCCGTGGTGGTGGCGCTGATGACGCTGTCCTCCACGAGCGAGTTCTGGGATATGAACGCCCTCTACGAAAACCCGGGCTTGGTGAACCTCATGTCCGGGAGATGACCTCCACATGCCTCCCCTGGCGTTGTACATCGGGGTTCTACCGTCAAATGCGGGACGATAAGGCGGTAGTGACAGCCTGACAGCGTCGATTTATTTTGGCTATATCTTCGACGTGTAATTTCCCATCGGTCCGTTTCGAAAAAAAAAATCCCATCGGAATAGATTCTTTTTATTCTCCTTTTATTTATGCCGGAGTTCATATTTCTCTTCTTGGATACCTTAGTGCCACGTTCATGTGAGTTGTATGTGTAAGTCTCAAGTGTAAGTAAATATATGTACGTACGTGTTTATTTTGACATGGCAATGGAAATAGCTATAGGCCTTGTAGAGGTAAGTGATTAATCCTTGTGTGGCAATAATCTTGGCAGCGGATGCGTGGAGTCTCTTTTCCTCAGTGGGAACTAGGGAAACAGTATAGGAAAGAAATATTGGCAATGCACTAATAATAGTACTCTACTTGATTGCTCCGTTGGCTGCTTGCTCCAGTAGCTTTCTACTGCTAGCTCGTCGGCAATCGGTCGAGACGTTAGACGTGTGATATTGGCGCTACGTGGAGATATAGTCAAAGGTGTACAGTGCTCGTCCCGGGAACACACGGTAGATTAGCGTCAGCGGTTTTCCATTTTCTCAAGCGACTTTAACTTTCTGTTCGACGTTGATGGTTAATCTGATGATTCAGGGTGATTAGACTGCAGGGCCTCAGACCGTTAAAATATCTTACTAGCAGGAATTACACACGACAAGTTGATATGACCGAGTTGGTCTAAGGCGCCACTTTCAACACACATTGTACCCTTCTTTTTCCTTGGCGCAAGATGAGATCGAAACTGCTCTACAGACGACAGGCGGCAGCCAGGCTTCCAAAACGTGCTACTGACACCGCCATGTATGTCGGCGGTCCCGGGAGCCCAGTCCCACACGGCCTCAACCACAACGAGTTCCACCCTACGCGTGCATGTTTCGATCAATGGCTTTAAATAAGGCTGGTATGTGCCCCCTTGTCTTCATTAATTTTATTATTATTTGTTATTGTGCAGGATATTTCTAAGCTGGTTATTAGGCACTACACCCGCCCTGATTTATTGGTTACCTTTGTATTTTGTGTTAAATTTTAATCATATATTTCAGTAAAATGTTAGTGCATGTCATTAAAAATTATATCACTGGTTTCATGTTTGAACTAGTTTTCAATGATATTATTTGTTGCGACGTGCAATAGCATTTTGTTCATTAAACTAAAGATTAAAATTTAGCATAAAACATAAAAACGACTAATAAACTAGGACGAAGGTAGTACAGTGTACGTAGTAGCGATACAATACCCGGTTATTTTCTTCATATGTCACCTCAACACTGGCGGTGAGGATTTGCTATCGGGGCCTGCCAGTCCTAGAAGGAATTTTTTTGTTGGTAGTAATGCAAATTTAGCGCGACTGTATTTACTCAAAATAGGAAGAAACAATAGATTCGCAAAAAGAGAGTCCAAACACTATCCGTCCAGCATGGTCACAGCTTCTAGAAAGAAGAAAGCGTGAACCGGCTCGCCCGCGTTCATAACTTCATCCCCATTCCCTCAAACGAGAAAAAAAAAATCATCCCCATACGCAGCGACGCAAGCGCTGCCGTAAGCGCCCGACGCCACGTGGCCTCGCCCCGCACCCTATAAGTTCCGTCGGCCACCACACCAACCGTACAGCCGCAGCTCCCCCGCCTCCTCCTGCTCGCTCCTCGGTCCTCTTCCGTCCCTCCCTCCTGGTACGCGCCGTCCTCTTCCTCTTCCTCTCCCTCTGCTTCTAGCTCTGCTCCCTTCCTCCCTTTGGTTCCTGCGCATTCACGGCCCGTCCCATCGGCTAGGGTAGCTGCGGCGATGAATCCTCTGATTTCCCATCTCTTCCGCGGTATCTTTTGCTGAATCAATCAGTAAATCCACTGGCAGAGAAACTTTTTCGTCTTTAGATGTCCTCTTGTCCCAGTCCCGAGTATGACTGCGATTCGCCTTTCAGGAAAATGTTTGTGATTCATCAAAAAAGAAAAGAAAAAAGTACTGTATTTTGATTTTTTTCTCTTCTTGTCGTCCTTGTAGTATTTATTGCTGCTTGTGTGCGACACATACATACATGGGTTACTGGTGGTCAAGAGAATCAAGCCTTTCTATGTGCTTCTTGTTCAAGTCAAGAATTGGGGCTTGATGCACCTCTCAGTTCTTTTATCAGTAATATATTATTTAAAAGAAAATAGAATATCGTTAGTGGTTGGAAAGGTTCAGAGTTTCTGTTGCCTGACCATATCCAGTTCCCCTTGTTAGTGACGATCTCTATGTGGACAATCAAATCACTCTTGATGCTTACTTGAACACTATATATATAGGTCACCTGTGAAAGCTACTGTCTTCTGTATTTTATTATCGAATTGACACAGGGGAGATTACCACGAAGCAGGCTGGCGTACGCTCCTTGTTTATTGGTTGGATTTTGTCTTGTCAAGTTACTCAAGTATTCATGTGGATGCTGCCTTTCTTGACATGCCTAGTACAACTTTCAGCCAGTTGCTACCTTCCTTGCTCTTCAATGGAATATACCTGACCTGGGAGCTTTCACACTCCTCGACTCGTCGTACAAGTTACTGAATAGTCAGCTTGCTTCAGTAGTGGCTACTAATGGTTCATGTCATGGCAGGCTTGTCTTGAATTAATAAATCTGGTAATGAACATAAGTTTATTATACTGTATCAGGTGTTGTTAGCTGAATTTTGTTATTCATAATTGCTAGTTGCTATAAAAGGGCTTTTCTGAATCAAATATATAGCAGAAGATTCTCCATATGTTGGTTTGCTTCTTTTTCTGCATGATGCTACTTTCTTCTGATAGATGGTCGACTTTTGCAGCTGGTGACAAGATGAAAATGGCTGGCTCTGCTGTGCTGCTCATTTCGCTCCTATCGGCTATCGCCCCCCTACCCTCTGAAGCCCTCAACGTGAGAGGTCATCTGCTGAAATCAAAGACGTTCCGTTCTCCGCCCATCTTACTGGGGCCTGGATCAGTCTCAAACAAGTACTACCATGACGTCGACTTCCCCCGAGGCCACCTTGCAGTCAAGAGCTTTAATGCTGAGGTCGTCGATGAGAATGGCGTCCCTGTCCCGCTCCATGAGACTTACCTGCATCACTGGGTTGCAGTACCATACTATGCTCTCAAGGACAACCAGAGCTCTGATGCGCAAAAGGTTCCCGCAATGCTTAAAGGGAATGATGGAGTGTGCAAGAGAGCACTAACCCAGTACTTCGGGCTCGGTTCCGAGACTCGCCACACCGCCACATGGGTTCCTGATCCTTATGGAATTGAGACCGGCAACCAAGAGAAGGCCCCTGAAGGCTATGAGGAGAAATGGCTGCTCAATATTCATGCCATCGACACGAGGGGCGTGGCCGACAAGCCTAGCTGCACCGAGTGCAAGTGCGACTTCTACAATGTCACAATTGATGAGTATGGGCGCACAGTCTCGAAGAACTACACTGGTGGGTTGCTTTGCTGCTATGATCAGACCCAGTGTCGGCTCAAAGCAGGGTTCAACGCCGAGGTGCGGAAGGTGTTCTTGCAGTACACCGTGACTTGGCTCGACTGGACTGATGCGGTGGTGCCTGTCAAGATCTACATATTTGACGTTACGGATACCGCTATGCTTGACGGGACTCATGAACACTCTTGCAAGGTATGCAAATACTTCCCAGTTGCCACAACGGTGGCAACTGTTTCAGAGTTTAAAACTATCCTATTATTCCAAATACACAATCTTTTTTCTTTCCTTTTTACGGGTATTCAAATACACAATCTGAGAGCCTTAGTAGGTTGGTTTATGAACTAAGCCATTGATTTACAGGTTGAGTATCAAGTTGAGGAATGCAGCGCGGAAAACCGAGCCAACAATGAGTGCATCCATACTAAGACTACCAGAGCGGTCTTGCCGCGTGGAGGAGATATCGTGTACAGTGTTGCACACCAGCACTCTGGAGGAGTCGGTGCTTCTCTGCATGGCCAGGTAATGGATTAGCACCCTGATCGCTTATCAATTGTGCTTATGCACTTCTCAAGAGTTATTTTGAGTGGAAACGCTCAATACTACCTATCTGAAACTTGGAATTGGGATTCCAAATTCCAATTCTGTCTGCAACCAATATTCACTGAGTTCGACTAATTCCTGAATTACATGCTCAATATATATATGATGTCTAAATGGTAACATCACAAGTTCTTGCCAAAGGAAAAGAAAGCCTAACTTCTGAGGTAAATTCGACTTGCTACAGGATGGACGCCTTCTATGTGAATCGCTTCCAACTTACGGCACAGGGAAGGAGGCAGGGAACGAGGCAAACTACATTGTCGGCATGTCGAGTTGCTACCCTAAGCCAGGATCCATCAAGGTCAGCGACGGCGAGGTGCTGACCATCGTCTCCAACTACAGCAGCGACCGAGAGCACACCGGCGTCATGGGCCTGGTCTACATCCTCGTGGCCGAGCCGCAGCAGCCGGCTCCGGCGCCATCCCTGTGCTTCAGTTTTCCGGCCCCATGTGAGTTTCACCAATTTTTCACTCATTTTTGCAGCCCATTTTCTTTCCGAGTGAATTCCGAAAATGCAGATGTGTAACTAAATTCTTGTTCTCTCTTTTTTGCATGAGTAGGGTGCCTACCGGCATGGATGTCTAGCAACATGTGAAGAGTAGATTATCATCTACCTGCAATACAAATGGTGAGGCCAGAAGAAGCTGAACCAATCACCCTGGATCAATCATCGTCATAGTTATAAGATGGATGTGTTTTTGTCATACTATTACTAGCTAATATACAGAAGCAGTCACCGGTCAGTGAGCAATGTCATTTCGATGGACCATCAGTTTCTGATGCTTTGTAATTAGTTATTATCAGTAGTAGTGTATGAAGCTGAGTTGTATGAGTTGATCACCGCCATAAGAAAAACTAGAGTCGATATAATAGTAAGGAGAAGTACTTCGGTACAACCCAAACGTATAAGGGGTAGTATTGTCCATACTAAATTATGTATTAGTGTACCCGCCATCCGTCGTAGGGCCGGCCGCCCGTGTATGTCGCGCCCCATACTCCCGCGTCGTACGCATATTGTGCGGTTCGGTAGTGCGATCGGGAAAGGAAAAAAAAACTACGCCCCACCCCGACACCCCATCTCCGCGTACGAAACACTAGCGGCATCAACGCCGCCGTGGTCCACTGCCGTCACGACGTTGGGCGGCGTCCGTAGTCACCCACGCGCCGTGTCACCGGTGTCGTGTGAAACTGACATCCCATCCCCGCCTAGGAAACCCTAGCGGCATCAACGCCGCCGTGGTCCACCGCCGTCACGATGTCGACCCCGACGTGCCCGTCTAGTCGCGAGCACCGACGGCGTCCGTAGTCACCCACACGCCATGTCGCCGGTGAAACGCCCAGCGCTCCCGTGAACGTTCTGTCCTGGTACGCGCCCTCCACGATGTGGGTGGCAGCAACGCATCGGCGTCGACCCCAGGCGAGGACCCCTCGACGGCGCACAATAGGTTAGGATGGCTCTTTTTGTTCTTTTTGATTTGTTCATTGCATTTTTGTGTATTTTTTTATGCAAAATGATTCCCTACTTAGCTAAATAAGAGAGGAGAGTAGTGACCTCTTAATGACCTCATAATGATTTTGTATGTTCAAATTTGTATGCATGCCACATAGTCATGTCATTGTTGACGAATTTACTGTATTCGCGATGATGTTTTGTGGAATGTTGGCATTGATCTCACACCTTATTTGTATGTGCATAGATGGAGCAAGTAACCGGATACGCCAGTGATGATTCCGGTAGCGATAATGAATCCTCGTCATTGAATGCGAACCAACCTCCCGGAGACAACTATATGAGTCAGGATGAATCGTACAGTGGTAATGTAAGTGCCTTCAATGTTGACCAAAACATATTGAATACAAACTAGTTATTTGACACTTACATGTCCTTTTAAATTTGTACAGCTACATGGCAATGATGACGATGAGGAATATGATATAGATGAACAATTTTATGCAAATAGTGTGAGCCAGGTATGTTGAAAAAATTGTAGAGAAATGATTGACATTAAAATTGTATGACCACTTATGTTACTTTACATGTGCACAGATAAATGCTAATGGTGACAATGAGCGTAATAATATAGATGATGACAATGCCGAGAGCGAGGTCGATGCATCTCGTAGTGGGAGCGGTAGCCAAGTAAGTTCTTTACATTATTTATGGTTAGTAACAATACAAGAACAGATTGACATGCAAGGTTATATGTCATATTTTGCAGGGAGGTGTTGATGGTCCTAGTGGGAATGATGAGCACAGCGATGATGATCAGTTTGACCTTGACATGTGCTATGATGAATATCAGCAAGAGTCACTTGATAGGCATTGGGCAGTGATGGTAAAGACATTCAGGTCATTGGACGAGGTGTACACGTTCTACAACAAGCACGCGAGAGAACGTGGGTTCAACATCAGGAAGGACTCGCTAAAATTTTCGAAGGATCACGCAAGGACTCCACGCTTGAGGAGGTATCTCTGTTCCGCCGCAGGAAAACGACAGGCCAAGTTCTGTACCATGGAAGGCCGGACCCGCAGGCTTAGACCGGAGAGTCGATTCTTATGCGAAGCCCATTTGACAGTTAAGCTTGATAAAAAGCTCAATCTTTGGTATGTCAGCAGTTTCTCCGATGATCACAACCACACTCTTGCACGACCGGACGAAGTCCCTTTCCTCCGATCTCATAATCGGATCAAAGCATTTGAGAGAGCTGAGATCTTAGCTATGGCTGGAGCTGGGATAAGAAAACATATCATTTTTGATAACATCGTTAGCAGGTATGGGTCGTATGCAAAGTCATCATTTCAAGAGACAAAGTTGTATAACATGTGCTATAGGGAGAAGATGAAATTGCTTGCACAAGGTGATGCTGATACTGCCATAGGAATCATGTTGACCAGAAAGGACAGAGATCCAGACTACTTCTTTGAGCACACGGTTGACGCTGAAGGCAGGCTCCAAAACCTCTTCTCGTGTGATTCGCAGTCACGCCGGGATTATCTAGACTATGGTGATGTTGTTGTGTTCGATAGCACATACAAGATGAACATGTATGGAATGTCGTTCATCCCTTTTGTGGGTCTGAACAACCACCGTTGCACTACGGTATTCGCCTGCGCCATTGTTTCAGACAAGACTGAGGCTACATATGTTTGGTTGCTTAACACGTTCTTGAAAGCTAACTGTCAGAAGAGGCCCAAATCTGTAATTACAGATGGAGATGCAGCGATGATAAGGGCTATTGGGAAGGTGCTTTCTGACGTGTGGCATCGTCTATGTTCATGGCATATTGAAAAGAATATGCAGAAACACCTCAACCACAAGTCATTGAAGGAGTTTAGGGCATTATTATACTATGCCACTACACATAAGGTTTTTGAGGAGAGATGGGCCGCGTTTGTGCGCAAATGGCAGACGGAGAAAACGAAAACATGGCTCCATAGGATGTACAGGAAGAGGACGCTTTGGGCTGCATCATATTTGTCTGGTGGGATTTTCCTTGGTATGCGCAGTAATCAGAGGAGTGAGAGTCTGAACTCCAGCCTGCACCTTCATCTTGACTATGGTATGACGATCGTTGACATGATTGTACACTACGAAAATTGTATTGTTCGCCTCCGTGAGAATGAAGCTTATGATGACTACACGGCCTCACAGACTCTTCTAGTAACAGTGACTGAGTGTCAGGCCATTGAGTCGTATGCTGCGAAAGCATTCACGCAGGCAAACTTTTATATGTTGCAACAAGATATGAAGAAGGTACAGGAGATTTGTGGTTGCGTGGAAGAATAACAGGGATCACAGATTTAATATGGACTATACGCCAGGTAACTCGGCAGAAACTATAAAGTGCAGTTGCCGAAGTATGGCTCGCAAAGGGCTTCCTTGCAAGCATATTATTCATGTTTTGAATGCACTGAACTTACCTGTGATACCCAAGTGTTGTGTCCTGCGAAGATTCTCAAAAAAAGCATGAGCTGGACTGCCCGTGAAGCGCACCAGCGATTTGTTTGCGTGGGGTTGGTTGAGTGGTGAGGACAGAGCTAGATATAGTGAGTTGACCATCAAATCTTCAAAAGCATGTCATGTCGCATGCAGTAATCCTTTCTTATTCGACAAGTTGATGGCAGCTCTGGATGATATTATAGTGAATAGGGACATTCAGGGAAATGAAGATGATAGCGAAGCTTCGTGAACAATAATCCATTTGAGCCTAACCGAGATCATATTCTGGTTCGTGATCCAGTAAAGGTTTCCCCCAAGGGTGCACCTAAGCAGAACAGTAGAGGTCACGGTAAGGGTGGCCCAGATGTGACAAAAAATGAGAGGCCTAAAGCATTTGACGAGAAATCTGGATGAAAATGTAGCATATGCAGCAGCTCAGGTCATAACAGGAGCACATGCAGCAAAAATAAAGAGTATGTCTATTATTTGTTTATGTTAGTTTTGTTGTTTCATTTATGGTGCATTGATTCTCATAGTTTTTTGTATGCAGCAACTGGGCTTGAAGACAGAAGTGAGGACGGTGCATCTGTTTTACTGCTTCCATTTATATGTAACTGTACGTCTTTTTGCTTTGTTTATGTTAGTTTCGTTGATTCATCTACCGTACATTGATTCTCACAATTTTTTTTATTCTATGCAGCAACTGGGCTTGAAGACTCAAGTAAAGACGATGCAAGTGTTTTACCTCTTCCATTTATATGAAAAACATTTGTCAAATTTATGTTCGTGTTGAGTATTTTATATGTGTGAAACAAGATTATTGCCTATAGACCTTTGTCATTTGAAACTTGTTATTTTCTGTCCACTACAATAAAATTACTGTGGTGACAATTATTATGTTGAGACATCATTGTTGTTGATATAAATATTCACTATTCATTCTTTATATTATGAATTCTGCATGTATTTACTACAGTCCCGTCGGCTGTCAAATTTATTAAAATAAGAGAAGTACTCTGTGAATTGTTGTTGAAAAAAAATGGCCGCCCGTCTCCACAGCGTGTCTTAGTAAGCCTGTCGTTATCAAGCCCACCGGGCGACTAGAACAGGCGTTTCGGAGCACGCCGTGGAAACCAGGCCCAACAGGGCAGAATCGACGTGGTACATTGACGGGGTAATAGACTAAAGGAGTTCAATGTGGCGACGGGAGCTCTGTATATAAACTGGTCGTCGCCGCCTTCGGCCGACGAGGTGGGACTAAACTAGTTAGTTTCCCTGGCGCGTAGTCTCAGCGGGGGTAACTGGGCCGGCCCACGGCGCGTCGAGCCGTCGAGAAGTCCGCGCCGTCCATTGCCCTTTTGGGCCGGCCCACGTCGCGTGTGGCTGTGTCCACCTCGCCCCCGGCCGGCGCAAGTTTAGTCCCACCTCGCCGGCCGAAGGGGACAACGACCAACTTATATACTCAGCTCCCGTCGGCACATTGAACTCCTCTGGTTACTACCCCATCGATGCTGCCCTCTTGGGCCTAGTTTCTACGTTGTGTTCTGAAACGCCTGTCGTAAACGCCCGATGGGCTTGATAACGATGGGCTTACTAAGACACGCTGTGGACGGGCGGGCAATTTTTTTATATAAAATATTTTTAAGCTTTTCTA